GATCACTTTGACTCTCATTGCAAGAAAACAAGCTATGCCTTATAGTTGTAAAACACCAAAATAGTTCCTTTGGATATTATTAAAAACTGAGAATCCTAAAAATACAAAAACAAAAAAGCAAACAAACAGTAAAGACAGTTGAACCCGACCTACTATAAAAACAAACAGTTTTATTTTCATAATCTGAGCAGCCTGCAGGAAGAAAAAATAAATAAATATGAATTACTCAGTGGTAAATCTAAATCAGCTTATCTCAATCTTATTTTCATTTTTGTTGTTTCTTTTTTGCTTGTAATGAGATATTACACATACTGACTAAACACTCAATCCAACTGGGATTAGACAGGAAAAAAAGGACAACAAGTGACAAAAAGCCCAAAACAGGTTCTGTGTTGTTTTGCTGTGAGAGATGTGATTTTAAAGCAGCTGTCATGGGAAGCCTCCTACTCCAAATGATGGTAATAGATGTTTAAAAATAAGTGACTTCTGATGCCAACATATAACAAGAATATAAACAATTTGTTAACTGTAATCAAATTTAAGAAACAAAACCAAGGGGAAAAAACTAAACAAACCAAACCCCCCAAATAAAACAGCATTCAAGGAGAAAATGTAATATTATTATCATACTTGTGATGCTCTCAACATTATTCAAGGGATTTGCAGGAGCATTATTTTGTAACATAATAGTACAAAATGAAAATTAAATATGTGTAACCAAAGTCGAAAAACAGTTTGCCTTAACTGTGACCGTCCATTAATGTGAATCTATAAAAATTGAGCCTTTATATAAAAAAGTCAAATACTACCACCGTGTGGTATATTTTGGGTACTACAGATATTATTTTTTACATGCCACTCTTAAATTTTAGAAATGCCATTTGGGAGATTTTTGCAAACATTTATGATTTTTTTTGACTCAGCTATTATTAAACATACAACTTGTGGATATTAAATCAACCGAATACCACACTGCATGCACACATGAATGTATGAAATATTCCTCTATTCAGATTATGTCCTAAGAGCTCCAGTTCAGCTTTTATCTTTCTTTATTAAGAACACTTAGTTTCAAATATAACTCTATTTCAGTTTTAAGAGGATGCCATTTTTTTAATTAACATTATATTGGTTCCAAGTGGATGGTAATTTGCCTGGTAACTTTGATACATGTTGTTTTGTTTAGCGTATTTTGTCTTATATTTTTCTCATATTATTAGAAAAGCAGGGTTAAAGGTGAGTTTATGTTCTGTTAATTAAGACTACAGATAACGAATGAGTCAGGGATCACGTTTGATAACTTAGAGTCAATCCAAACTTTAAGGATGTTTTATTGTGAAAAAACTCAAACTATTGTGAACAGGCTGCTCTTTTAAAAAGAGATGACATAAGAACAGGCTCAGGATTGGAAACTGTTTATTCCCTTAAACATAGCTTTTACGACGAATATAAGCAAGTGCGCTTTATTTCATTAATATTCCTGCAAAGAATAACTTATAAGGCAATCTAATAGAAGTGACAGGAGATATTTATAGGCTGGAGAATTTATACAAGGATAAAAAAAACATACAAATCTCAAGGAGTTTAAACTGGAGGGATTTAGAACAGCAAGCAATACATCTGCAAAATTATTTTCAACTTTATTTCACCTCTAAGGATAAACCTGAGACCTGTCAGTGTTTTAGTTACCCAATGTGTTTTTAAGATGTATTAGGAATACAGACACAGACTACCACAGACTTAGACAACTTTTATTGTCATTTTGTATACACAGAGCGTATACTAAATGTACAGCTTTCATGACATTTCCATTTCATAAAGTGCAGCAGTTGTCAAATGTGGGAGAAAAAAACATGGTGCAAAAAACGTGTGGATATGGAAGCAGAGGCGGAGCCAGAAAATTTTTAGAAGGGTGGCCAGGACATAACCAATGTAGGCTGAGGGGTGGCCCGAAAGTGGATTGGCACCAGAACCCCAGGGTCAATCTACACTGTTCCAACAGGAAAATTAACGAGCGCAACATCCATATTTTCAAAATAAAGACTAACTATACTTTCCTACAGCCTTAGCTAACAAATAGACGTATATATTTAGACATCCATGCTTTCTTGATAGAAGGTATAGTGGATAAAATACTTTCAGGTTTGAGTTCTAGGGCCAACATCTTTTCCATCGTCATTACTTACCTACTTTTATCAATAATCTTTTGGCATAAAATTTATATTTACATGTACTATTATCTACATTATTGATTATTTAATATGTTTTTATTAAAATACTTTTTATCTAGGATTTCACTAAAGACTCCTAGATGGCTTGCAGAGACACATTATTCTCCCTTTAGCCCATATAACTAAAAATCTACTTCTGAAAAGAGCATGAATACTGCATTTATCATCTTTAATGTCAGTATATTGATGAGCATAATTAACCACAGGGTTTTTGTTGTCAAGTAATTGTTACTATATGGAAAATTAACATGTTTTGAATATTCCACTTGAGAGTATTACTGCTGCTACTGTCTGTATTAGAGGAAATAAATGGTAGGGGTGGCCACAGGGGTGGCCAATGATTGGTTAAGGGTGGCCATGGCCACCCCTGGCCCCCCATCTAGCTCCGCCCCTGTATGGAAGTTCAGAGCAATAAATATATATGGTGAATAATGTAGTGTTTTGGTTTGGTGTGGTCGGTGTGATGCAGAGTCTGTGACATGATTTAGAGTTTTCTCAACACTTAAGCTTAACTACTGTTGCTAGCCAGCTATGATGAGTATTTACGCAGGCAAAAGAGGAAAATGTTCCAGGTAAATTCCTTCATTTTTCTCAGTTTATTTCTCCTCAGGCAAGCAAATAGAAAACAACAAACATTTGCTCCATGCTTCTCTTGCTCTGGTAAAAAAACAAAAAACAAACAAAAAAAACATACGCCCATCCAGATGCATGCTGGTCCTACAATTGACAGCCTATTTATAAAAATAATTCACCCAAATTAATCATAACTAACCAGAAACAAAAGAACACAACTAAATAACCAAAAAAGATATTCTCATAACAGCAGAGGCATAGCCAGAAATTTTGAAGGTTGTCCAGGCAATAGTCAATGTACGTTGAGGGGTGGCTGAAAGCGAATAGGCACCAGAACCTCAGGGTCAATCTTCACTGTTCCAACAGGAAAATTAACAAGCAAAACATCCATATTTTCAAAATAAAGACAAACTATATAAAAAGATGCATATATTTAAACATCTGTAATGTGGGATAGTGGATAAAACTCTTTCAGTTTTGAGTTCTGGGGCGTAAATCTTTTCCATCGTCATTACTTACCTACTTGTATCAATAAACATTCTGCATAAAATAGATTTTTACAAGCAATAATATCTACATAAATTGATTATTTGAGAAGTTTCCATTAAAGTTGTTATTTATCTATGATTTCACTGAAGACTTACAGATGACTTGCAGAGACACATAATTTTCTCTTTACCCAAAATAACACAACTCAACTCAACTCAACTTTATTGTCAAATGTGCTACATGGTAAACATACAACACAGATGAAATTTCAGTCCTCTCAACCCCACGGTGCATAATAAAATATAAAAAAATATAATGAACCATAGCATAAAATAAAAATAGAAATAAAAACCTAAGATATAAAAATAAATATTTAAATATGCAAACAATAGTGTGAATGGTGCAAATAGTGCATAGAGTAGCAGTCCTGACGTGGGGGAAATAGTGGGGGACGGGGGTATTGAGGGGTCAGGGGGGGGCGAAGGGAGGCAGGGCAGGGAGGGAATTGAGCATCCTCACTGCCTGGTGGAAGAAGCTGTCACTGAGCCTACTGGTTCTGGCCCGGAGACTCTGCAGCCTCCTCCCGGACGGCAGCAAGGTGAAGACATTGTGGGCGGGGTGGGTGGGGTCACCTGCGATCCTGGTGGCTCTGCCGGTGAGGCGGGAGTGGTAAATGTCCAATAGAGAGGGGAGGGGGACACCGAGGATCTTCCTAGTTTCTTTCACGGTGCGCTGCAGTGTCTTGTGGCAGGTTGCAGTGCAGGCTCCGTACCACACGGTAATGCTGCTGGTCAGGATCCTCTCGATGGTGCCCTCATAGAAGGAGTGCAAGATGGGGGACGGGGCTCTTGCTCTCCTCAGTTTCCGCAGGAAGTAGAGTCTCTGTAGGGCTTTCTTGGCCAGGGACGCGGTGTTGTTTCCCAGGACAGGTCTTGGGAGATGTGGACTGGACACCCAGGAACTTGGTGCTGCTCACAACATCTAGTTATGAAAAGAGCATGAATTCTGTAAATATCATCTTTGATGTTGGTATATTGATGTGTTTAATTAACCACAAAAAATTTAAATGTTTTGAATATTCCACTTGAGAGTATTACTGTTGCCACCGTCTGTATTAGAGGGAAAAAATGACTGGCTAAGATTGCCTAAGGGTGGCCATGGCCACCCCTGGCCCTCACCTAGCTCCGCCCCTGCATAACAGATATTAAACAATAAAGTAGAATAAAATTAGATTATCCACAAAAACAAAAAAAACTTTGTTAACTATTAACAAAAAAATATTGGCCCCTACAACTACACTCACAGTTTTTTAGTACCTGAGTTGTGTCAATCTAACAAAAATATAGTTAAAAAGATCAAAGAAACATATTCGCATAAATAATCCACAAATTAATTCTAAATGTTGCATTTGGATAAACTTTTCTCATTTATGTTTCTATTATAGTTTAAGTGCAAAATGACCGTATGTGTCCTCTAACACAACAAAAGCAAACAAAGTCTGACTTCTTTCCCCAAAATTTGATTAATGTTCCTTGTTACAAACAAACAGAAACCAGACTGACATAAAAAAAACTGAACAAAAAAACAAACAATAAAAGGAGAATAAGGCTGACAAGAAAATATAAACAAACTGTCCAACTCGTGACGAAGCTAAAGGGGGAGGGGCTTAGAGCTTGGGCTCACTTCCGTAGAGGCTGCCATTACTGTGGTGAATGAAGAAACAGAGCAGAGACAAAACGAGAGGCAGAGAAGGAGGGTCTGAGGAGCGCCACGCCTCAGGAGAGGAGAAAGGTCTCTGCCTCCGGAGGAAGTGATTGTGACGGAGTCTCTAGCGGGAGGAAGCAGGCAGATTAGCTGCTTTTCCATGGCTCAGTCTGCTGCTAATGGTGTGGACCAGGACTTGGCCACCAAGAGGCTGCATTCAAGGTAGGAACCCCGAATAAACATGAGCAGAACATCTTTTTCTCTGTAAACCACACGGACGTAAAGCGGCTTGTACGAATAGAAACGCAGATAATAGAAGGACTGCCAGCTCAGGGCTTTGCTTAAGGAGGAGCTAGTCAGAGGGAACATAGCAAAGCCAGCTTTCACTGGTTTAAAACGAGCCATGGAGAGAAGCAGGAGCAGCTCCAAGACTGTCTCCTGGCTCTGATCACTGAGCAGCTGTGGCTGGATGCACACACTGACAGGAGATATCAAAGAAATGCTGCAAACACAGACTGTCCACAGGTTGGCTGCAACATGTGGGTAATAATTGCATCAGTTATGCTTGCAAGGATCAGTTCATTTTATTTAAAAATATTAACCCTAATATAGCATCTTGTAATTTTTTGGCATCAGGTCTATTGCTAGTGTTTAATTGCACCCTGTTTAAGGTAGTTTACCAGATCATCATCATTTAGTTTCAGTCAGACTTGCCAATCCTTAGGCTGATCTTCTAATTATCCTAATGGTCTCCCAGATGAACCCCTTCTGTCATTTAAAGGGTTTAATGATTATGCCATTGTGTTAATTATAATGTCTCTAGGTAATAAATGTAGCCCTGACTTGTGAACCTTCATCTGGCAGGTGAGGAAGACTAAGCTGTCATGCTTCTTAAATTAGATCACAGGTATACATTGTCTGCAAGTGATATTGTTTTGCCTGATGGTGTAAAACCTCTCTGTCTGCTGCATATGTTGCTCAACTTTGAACACCGTAATGCTTGTGTATCAAACTGGTAATTACAATTTTGTACATTTATTGTGTTATTTTCTTTCTTTATCAATTGGGTGCAGGTAAAATAACATTTGATGCCCACTGTAGAACCCATGAAGATGTGGTTTCTATCTGCTTACTTATTTAGAGAGTTTTCTTTTTTGGCATGATGATCATCCTATTGGAGGACGGATTAATTTACCTGATTCATATTTTACAAACCAAAAAATACATGGATAAAGAAAGGATTCTGAAAAGTTGCAGGCATGTTTAAAAAAGGCATGCTTTTGTAAAAAATGCATGCTTTTGTAAAACAAAAAAATAAAAAATAAATGGTAGGAGTCGGTCAGTATGTAAAGCCAGAGTTTTGCTTCTGTTAGGATTGTACAAAGGCAGTGCATTATAATTGCATAGGTTAATTAAAAGAACCAAAATCTCATTGCAGCATTGACTGTTCAGCCTCTGCAGCACCGATTAGGCTGCCTGGAATGTTAATTGGCTGTTGACTTGAGATGTGACATTCATAAAAGCCTGCAAGGTTGGTGTGTCCCTGACAGAATGAATGACACACAAACTATATTAAGACGTGCTAATCACAAGACTGCTGTTTTTCCCTCTTATTTTATCAACACGTGGGGTCAATACATGACCTTACCACAATAAGGGTGCAGATATGTTGGTGTTGATGCATTGTGCGTAGCTTTACAAAGCAAAGACCCATGGTGCTGTTTTTGTCATGCAAGTTGTATTAAATCACTTATGCTTTAATGCCAAAATAAAACTTTGTCAAGATATGACTGAAATAACTCTGTGAGAACATATGTTAGAACGTGGTTGTTACCTCTTCAGTAATGACCAAAGTTTTCTCTTTACATGAATCCGATTAGCCTTTCAAATGGTAATCTAACTGGACCCAGACCTTTCCACTAAAACTAGATGAGTCAAAATACACTGCAAAAAAAAAAAAAAATCTAAATAAGTAATTTTTTCTTAAAATAAGTGCATTTTTTCTTGAATTAAAGATCTAAGTGGGACCCTTTGCTAGGAACACGGCAATTTAAATTTAAAATAAAAACAAAAAAACTATTGCATTGTCTTATTTCAAGTGTAGTCCCTTACCAGAATCATCTGTGTTCAAAACATGTTAACAACATTTGGACTTCTGATAGTTCTCACTTCCATTAGGTATTCCCAAAACTCTAATTTGGACATGTTAGTTTAGTCTTTAAAGTCCTAACCTTATGCAGTTGTCTTTGTTTAAAACAAAAAGGGATGTAAGATTTCTTCTGCTGCAAAACTCTAACATTTTTCTTATTAGTTTGAATAATTATCTTGATTTTTATGCAGAATTATAGAATCATGAACTTCTAAATTTAGTTGCCTTGTCAGTAACTTCTTAGGCTGATTACTGCATATGTTCGCAATGCTGCCCCTTATAGAGTAGCTCTAGGAGTTAAACAGGGTGAAGTTAACTGGTTTTTAAGTTAGATTTATCTGCATTTGTGCCATTCTGATACTGCTGCACTTTATAAATTTCACTGCTAAGCTGCTCATTCAGAATTAAAAAAGCTCTATGTATCAAAATTTTGTTTGCATGCACTCTGTGTATACAAAATGAAAGTAAAGTTTTGTCTAAGTGAAGTGTTTAAAGCCCCTGTCACACTGATGATTTAGCCCGCATATGCCTGGCAGAAAAGCTGGCATACGTTTGATAAGTTATAGGTACGTTTTGTATAAGTTATGAGCACAGTGAAATCAGCTGTACTTAGGCAGGGAAACCTCTAAAACCTACAGGACAGTGGCCCTCGAGGACCGACTTTGGACATGCCTGGTCTAAATGGTTAGTGCCAAAATGTCTTCATAGTTCTCCTTAAAGGGAGCAAGTTACCACCTGCAGTGTGGCGAGCTTGAGATCCTTCGTTATATGCAAAGCATTTTAAACTCCTTAAACATTTAGTTTTGGGGCAGTACTAGTTTAACAGCAAAATTGACTACTTTGCAAGTTAAAAGAGGAAAACCATTCAAATTCTCCTCTCAATGAAAAATCTGTGCCACACTCTGGAAACGAGCTTGACCTTAAAACCCATGTCATTGTCATTGCCAAGAAATGCCACTCATCAGAGAAACAAGCAGCCGGGAAAAATAACAGTCATTCGTGGTCTCTACTGAACATTTTACAATTTAATAATTATATACCAACATGTTTTTTTTTCCAATATTCCACTTTATCGGCTTTCAAAATCCTGAATAACATTTGAGAAATCTAGTTTTTTTTCATTAATATTTTTGTACTTTCAGCTCAAGCTTTTGAAGGACATATTTTAATTCCTGGGCTGTCTAATTCCACTGCTGAAAACACGGACAAGTCAAAAACATAACGGCTGTGTTGCAAACTGCGTCTTTACTGGAGATTTCAACAAAGGAAGAAAACAAAGGGCAGTTCTGTTATGAGAGAGAAATTCGGCAAGAGGAGAAGCATTCCTAGAGAGTTTTTCTCTGGTTTCCCTGACAACAGGTCATGGTAGTCTGTAATTATGGCTGTATTACTACTCTGAGCACAGCATTTCATAGGCACGCCAAGAGTCATGTAGAGCTTCTTAAAATTAAAGATATCAATAGAAAATGCTAGAACAAAGGTCTAGAACCACAGTAAGCAGTTTATATTCACTATTTAGGTGCAGATGGCAATAATGGCTTTTGTTTTAACTATTCTTCCTGCAGTTTTATTTTTATTTATTTATTTTTTTTACCTTAATAGGGATTTCCTGAACAAGATCTTTAGGGGGTTTCTGCTGTTTTAAACCAATATGTTCTTGCCAAAGGCAGCTGGAAATGACCAGCTATATAGAAATATTAAAACTTTTAAAGCCAATATCATGGATCTGCTGTAAACTTAAGTAGCTGTGCCATAGACCAGGAAAAAACAGCCTTTCTCTATCTTGAGCTGTTTGTATTATCAACACTGTGTCCTATAATCCTTTTTGACATTTCACAATTGGGTGGGACTTTAAAGCAAGTAATATATTTTCCAACAATTTAAAGAAACACAACATTGAAGGCACAAAGTTTAAACTCAGTTTTAAACATGGAACAATCAAGGTGGGGGGTTTGTAAAGATTATTCTTACATATCCAGCTTTAAAATAAGCAAATAATATCAACTGTTACCCTTACACAATGACAACAATAAATACAACACTGATAATAGATTACTCACATTTTTTCTCTTAAAAATGGTTTAACCTTAATTCCCCAAGAGGTTTTATTTGTAACTTTTACTAGTATAGTTTTGTTTATTCTGCACTGTAAAGGTTTTGTGAAGTTTTTATGGCAAATTAATCTAAGCAGTCTACAGAATTATTTTGTCAAGATTTCTTGAAAGTTGCATTGGGCTTTATGCCATATATATGAAAAATACACCTGCATTACTGATTAGTTTTTTTTAACCTACTGCATCCTACAACACAAAGCAAATTTTACCATGGGAAGGCGTTGGCTCCAGCTTGCTGTGTACACTTAGCAGCTGTGTCAGATGGAGGTCAGATAAAAATCACACCATAAACAAACTGCTCTAAAGTTTGTGGAACCATACCATGACCACTTCCTTTAAATGGTCTTGGTACAGTATTTTGGTTCCACATCCTATTTTCATAGCCCTGTTCACAAACTACACCAAAGGGGGAAATTGTTGCTGTTTTAGAGAAAATTGCAGTCCTTCCTTAAGTAGTAAACAGTTACTGAGTACTTATACCCCTCTCTTCCCTACCCAAAGCTCTTGGTTTCAGAGCAGATAATATCAATATGTAACTAAGCTTGGCTAATCAACTCTTAGTTTAGAGTGAGCACAATATAAGAAGCACTCATCAATGTAACCCAGATAAATCGATTCACCATGGCAACCTAGGAAAGCCTCCTCTAACAGTTCAGTTTGTGGCCAGAGCCCCAGGGCATAGGGAATGAGAAGCAAAGGTTGGCTGAATCCTTCAAAGGATGCCTCCTTTGGTGTTCTTATGCCCTTGTGTGGCCAAAAAGTGAGCTGTAGAAGGAGCATGGATACTGATATTTCTTCTAAATATCCAAGTCGACTGTTTAAATGACATAATTCTAAGATTTCCATTTATTCATTTATTTTTTTTCTATCCCTCTATTGAAAGATCAAATTTATTGATAAATTACTGATCAATTAATACATTTAAGATATAGGTTCAGATGAAGTTATTAGGGGTGGAA